TGTTAGTTAAAGAATCTTACAAATAAGTCACCAGCAAAAAATGGACTCCATGCTATCGGACCTACCTGTGGTACATACCTCGGCGCTTTTCGTAATCAAAACGGAATCTGCCAAATAAGTCTCATGGTATCTAGCGCAACACGCGAAGGGATGCTTAGCCGGATGACTTTAAGTTTCTGTGAAACTGCCTACCTACCCCTCCCCTAAGGCAACATTTTACCCTATGTGATAATGTTGACTTAGGGGAGGGGTGGGTGGTCAGTTTCCTAGAAACCTAAATTGATCCGCTAAGCCTACTTCACAGACGTAACCTACCCCGGCTAGTAATGTCTGCGACGCAACGCCGAGGTCCCTGTTTTGCGCCCCCAACGGACTCAACGAGTTTCCGGAAGTGCGACTCGAATTTCCCTTTACTAATTGGTCAATTGAATAATGCCTGGTTTAACAGGCCTACCGTGGCTCGAGCTCAAGTCCTGGTACACAGGTAGGGACCCAGAGCAAGGATTTCGGCGCTGGCTCCCAGACCTGCAGACGGACTTAACCTCAGGTTTATTTCATCTGTGGTGCAGGCTAGCTAGTGAATGTTTATGTACGAGGATCTTATTTCTTTTTAGTAAGTGATTAAAGAAACGAATTTTCAATGATGATACTGACGGAGGAAGTAATTTTTGACTTAATATGACCGCGCAAATGAGGAATTGTTAAGCCCAGTCCAAACGGACCCAACAATGTTGGATGTTACATGTTGCGTCCGTTTGCACACCCTGTTGTATTTGCGTGTTGTTGGGAGTTGTTGTGCAAAGTTTGAAACCAGTCAAACTTTTAGCTGCGTGCTAACGGACGCAACAACTCCCAACAATTTTGGGAGTTGCTGCCTCTATTTGCATGTAGCTTAAGGTTATTAAAAAAACCTTTTTCAATTAATTACTTGCTTGTTTAATTCTTCTCGTCATTTTGTGTGTTTTTTTTCTGTTTGTAGTCCATCATAAATAGCGAACCATCCTCAGATCTGTCAAGAAGAATCATCAATCTAAACGATCATTTTACCTACAGGTGAGATATAATTATCTTTCAATATTCACGCAGAACGACTTCCAAAAGTGCAAACCAAGATTCTCTCTCTTTTTTGTAGCTGGCAGTAAATAAGGAGACTAAATATAATAGACCTTTCCACGGTTTTTCCAACTTTAGTTTATGGACGAGTTAGGGAAAAGCCGTCGACTGCGCTGGAAAGAGAGCCTTTTAATTAGTAAAATTGCCAAGCTTGAAAGTGGTTTGTTGAAAACTCGCGAAGATATAGCTCGGCCCTCCTCAAAGTCGCGAAATTTTACAGACGCTTGTGTGCCCCATCTTACCCTGGGTACCAGAGGTTTTTCTCGTGTGCGGCGGAAATTTTCGGTGTTGGCCGAAGGCCGACACATCTTCGGCCGTAGGCCGAAGCCACGAGCGGCAAAGACCGGAAACCACGCTAGAAAAGTCTCTTGCACCCAGGGTAGCCCCATCTTACAAGCGTCTGTAAATTTTCGCAACTTTGCGGTGCTATATCTTCGCTCGCTTAAGACGTATCACTTTTAAACTTGGCAAGTTTACTTATATTAAGGCGCTCTTTCTAGTGATGTCGAATGATTTTCCCCAACTGGTCCATGTCAAAAATTGAAAAAACCGTGCAAGGGTCTATTGTCATGATATCAGTCAAATTTGTAGTTGGGGCCAGGTGACCTGGCCTTTATCTGGAAGCGAGGCTTTAGTTTTCTTTTCTTCTCTCGTACTACGTTACTAAACTCTATTAACTTAAAGGTAAAACTCAACGTTAGATAACTGTCTGTTTTGTCGCAGCAATAAGATATATAACTTATAATAATTAATTTCCTTGTAAATAGAAATTTGGATTTCATTTTTTGGGAGTTAACTTTGAAAACTCTTAGTTTCTCCAACTTCCGTCACTCATATATCTTTTAGTTTCGTTTATCTATATGCCTGTGTATTGAAATGTTATATCTCATTATTTTTTATTATCCTCTGTACTTCCATTGGAAAGTGAAACCTGACTTGAATGGTCTCAAGCCGTTTCCTGGTAATAAAATTCACTGCCGTCAAACAGTTAACTTGTATAGTATACTGTTTCTACACTGTATCTTTTTCTTGTTGTCTTTTCAGTATTTACAAAAACGTGTGCCGATCGTTGTTTGAGAAGGACAAGCTCTTATTTTCATTTCTGCTGTGTATTGGCATTCAAAGGGGCAGGTAGGAGGCATTCATCGCTCACCCTGAAAAGTGGTAACAATCACCTACTCTTGAAAAAACCACAATTGTTTAAGTTCAACTTTTTTTGAGTATATTGTAGAGCACAAGCTGCATGTGGTGCTTTGTGCATCATGGCTTCGTCGGAACTAACACTGGTTCTATCCCTAAGGCGCGAAGATGATTCTTTATACCTAGGGAGTAATTTAAGCTGTACAAAGGATGGTCACTGTGTTTAAATTTGTTAAAAAGGCGGCGTTAATATTTTGATCCTCGGCTGCATGACCTCCAACTCTTACCTAGGTTTTCCACTTTGTGTTGCAGTTCTTTGTTCAACTTTAAACTTTGAAAATTTGCTAATCGTAAGGCGCTCTTTCAATGAGCTGAGAAGGGTATTTGCTGATTGGTCCTTACAAAAACTTATGACTTATGAAAATGACATATCATTTTCCTTCAATTGCAGCGGTAAAATTGATGAACAAGAGTGGCGGTTTCTGCTGACGGGAGGAGTTGCCCTGGAGAACAAGTTCCCAAACCCTGCCTCTGATTGGTTGACCGAAAAGTCCTGGGCTGAAATGGTTCGTTGTTCAGCGCTGCCGTCTTTCAAGGGAATCTTGAAACACTTCACTGAAAACGTGAGCTTTAGATAGACGGCACGCAGAAGTTCCTGAAAAATGCTTGTAATATTTTTCACGTACTTTCTGACGTGAGGCGTGGGCAGTTTCTCACGTGAAAAAACTCCTGGTGGTTTATTGGTGTGTTATCAGTATTTTGAGATAGCGAGGTTTTAGACCAGGTAGTTATCGCGTCTAACTGCTATCCTCTTGTAAGTGAATCCAAAACATTCTTGGATTCTGGATTCCACTCCATGGATTTCGGATTTCAGGTATTGGATTCCGGATTCTTTTTCAGCGGAACTTGGATTGCGGATTTCTAACGGGGCGAAATTGCGCTTTGGTACTGTTTTTGGGGGAAGTATCGCTCCTTCTACACTGCTTCTTTTATTGACCTTTTCGACGTTAAGCGCTGGCGCGAGTCTTGGCCAACATTTATCCCACAGACAGTCTCATCGTGCAATTCGCTAGATGCAAGTCCGGGAAACTGCCCACCTACCCCTCCCCTATGCCAACATTAACATTTACTTCTCACTGAGGGCAAAATGTTGGCTTAGGGGAGGGATAGGTAGGCAGATTCCACGAAACGTTTAATGATCCGCAAGTTCCACGTAGAACCTCGAGATGGCTAGTGGCAGCCTTACCCAGGCATTTCTCCACTCTGCCCTGCGAAGGTTCAAAACTCACCGTAGTCCTATGGCGATTTAATTCGTTTTAAGCCGTTCATATGTTGAAAGATACTTTCATAACCAAGTTCATTGTATTTCTTCCGTAATCGTTAAGTAAAACACTGTGGAAAGTGTCTTCAAGGTAAAAAGTGGAAAGTAGTTGTTTCTGTTCTTTGAAATAGGTTGATTGACACAGTTGCGAAGCATCACGCCCTTCAAAGAAATATGGCACGTTCTATATATCTAATTGACGGACGTTGAAGTGGTTCGTACACAAACGTCTTTGCCCCGCAGCACTCAAACAGCGTTTTAATTACAGTGCCATTTTCAGTAGGACATTGTTAAGAGCTTTTGTCAAGCTAAATTGCCGTAGAAATTTTGCTGTAATGAAAAAAACTCCTGTAGTGAAGTGATCACGTTTCATCTCTTAGCAAAACAGAAACGCAATTTTCCGTCGAAAGAGCGGTGCTGTTTTGTGCTTTATAAGTTACAGTGTTATTATTAAGTAAGTTAACATTTTGAAAACGCGTAAAGGGCGCCAACGGAGTTTTAAAAGCCCAGACGTACCAAGTTCTGGCACACCTGCACTTTTGCAACGATTTGCCTCATGGCCTTCGCTTCTAGTAGGAAACTGATAATGAACACGAGCGTTCAAACCAAGTTCATATGCTTTAATTGACAATTTGTCACATTAGCCTAAAACGTTTTTTAACGAATTTTTGAAAGCCCGGACTTACTGTTTTCTGGCTCAGCTGCACTTGTTTAACGAGTTTGCTTCGTTGCCTTCTCTTCCAGTTATTTTGATTTAATTCAAAAACTAGTCCCAAGCAAAGACCATTTTAACAACAAAAAGCACTATAAGTGTAAAAACGCGATCTTAAAACAAAAAAATCACCATTTTTTAAATTTTCCTAAACCTATGTGTCAGAAACTGGTTGCCATGGCAACATGATTAATCACATGGACATGGTAATTATACCAAAATGTTCCTAGATAAATTTTAGGAAAAGTCAGTAAATTTGAACGTCATAGCTCTTTCGGTGTAGGAGTTATCACGATTTTGCCGGAGGGGGGGTTCGAAAAGCCCCCCCCCCCCCAGTCTGAATAGGGTTAAATAAACTTGCAGTTGGAGTTCGAGTAGGAAACTGATTACGAATACGAGTGTTCAAACCAAGTTCATATGCTTTAATTAATATTTTGCCACAATAGTCTTAAACTTTTTAAATCGCTACATGTACTGGTCGTTACAGGAAAGATGATCGTGCTAGGCAGTTGACTGACTCGAAATTCCAAAGTAGCATTTTCGATGAATTTTTTTGTGTGTGCTTTTAAACTTGCGGATTTTTTAGCCGATTATTATGCACTATATAAGCCTGTCTTTGTTTATTTTGGGTTGAATACAGAAATCTTCCTTACTGATTACCAACGAACTTTGAATCTTACAATTTTCACTACGGGAACCAGCTAAACCTACGATTTAAAACCTCGCGAAAGTCGATGTTTCGAAAGCAATAGATCCATGGATTGATTGCTGATGATGTAAAAGCAACCGCCTCAACCCAGGGCCACACAGCATTATCATATTTAACATACAAACAATAATCTTCTCCTTTCACTTCGTGCACAATGGTGGCGACTAAACAAGGCATCCATGAAGCGATAAATACACCCACTACCATCCCTATTGTTTTTAGGGCTTTATAGTTCTTTACGGCATGATATACAGTATTGTTCTGGAAAGAGTTGTCTTGTATTCTTCTGATCTGTCTCCTTGCCGCTTTAAAAATCCATGCATAACAGAAAGCAACGATGAAGTTTGGCACTAAAAACGTGGCAGCCGGTATTGCAATGAGGATCTCCATATTTTCCTCGCTCATGAACATCAGTGAAAACGGTAGAAATATCGAGGCTACCCAAACTGAAATGATCGAAAAATGACACGTACGTTTGGTTACAATAAGTCTGTAACGAAGAGGAAAGCAAATTGCGATAAAGCGATCCACAGAAACACAACACAAGTTAAAAGTTGTAGCCGCAGTTGTGTGTATCCATAACATTTCCAGAATTTCGGATCGTACACTAATAAACGGCGGCTGAATCACATAGCGCACGGCTATCCACACAGGATTAATGACAAGCCCAACAAGAATGTCTGCCGTTGCCAACGAGATAATAAAACGGTTGGAAATGGTTCTTAAAGACTCGTGTTTATAAAACAACCACATTACAAGGGCGTTTCCAGTAATAGTTGCTAGGCTAGTAAAACTAAGCCAAACGGAAAGGATGAAAACCGATTCACTTCCCAATCGCTCATCGGGGCACGACTCATTCATGTTAAGTTCCATGTAGAAGGCGATAAAATCTCCTCTTTTGGGGTCTTTTCTAAACCTTTAAGTACTTAATAGTCAGGATACGGTTCCAGAAACAAGTCTTTTGATGAAAGATTCGTGGCCCACTAAAACTATATCATCCAGTTGCTGAAGCTCAGAAATGTCTGCTCTTGAACCACTCACCGCCCAAAGAACAGCACTGTGTTTTAGATTCTCTAGTCAAGTCAGTAAAACCTGCCAAATCACTTTACGGCCTACATCTTGAACGTAAGATGTAAAACAAGACATTTGAACCTCCTAATTATTTTTCATTCACTTGGCGATCATTTAAACTGACAACTTCCGTTTTCACTTGACATTATAAGGTAGACTGAAGTGTTTTTTTTTTCTTCTTTTGTTAGACTAGTTTTCCTTTCACGTCTTTTTGTGCCTACCACACCTGGACCAGATGCGCGGTGTGCTCAAAATGAGCACAAAAATGAGTTAAAGTTATCGGTTTCCCCTCCTTCTTTCAAAGAACAAAAACATGTAAATGTTAGAAATTAGGCAATGAGGCAGCTTATTTCAGCTGGTATTTACAAGTTTGCACCCTCCTTGCCATTCCGCTCGTATTGATTGACAATGTGTTCTAGGCATTAATTACTGATGCTCTTAGAGACAAGATTATTTTTGCATATAAATAGAATCGTTTGCGCAGATGCCATTATTTTCATTTTGTTTCATAAAATTTTAAAAGAGCCACACCAGAGCTCCTAAGTTATGCCGTGTGCTATATAAAAAGGCGTAAAAAACATTTTGCCATCTGACCCCTCAATCTTAATAAGAACAAATGAGAAAATTGATTATAAAAGTTCTACTTCCGCAGTTCTTTGTTCGTATTTAGAATTGGATGTTTTGCTCCCTTATTAATTTAGCAATCTCACATTCTTCATGCTATGCTTTGTTCCTCTGGGTCACTGATTCAGGGTGCTTTACCGCACGTCATATTGGCAGTTAGTTCCAACCACAGGTTCCCCAAGCTCACGAGTGAGAATAGTGTTGCGTAACAGAAATATTATAACGGTTTGTATAGAAAATTTACCTGACGTTATTTAGGGCATTTAAAATAGAAATGGAAATACATCAAAACTTCTTACCTTGTCTCCTTGTCTGTTTTTGGTATGTTCTTAGCATTTCTGGCCGTTTCAGCGCGATTCTAGTGAGTTTTAGTTCTACCGTTGCTCTCTCTCTGAAACGGCCACAACCAAACAAGACAAGGAGGCAGTTAAGAGGTTTTGATGTATTTTTATTTCTATTTAAAAGCCCTAAATAACGAGCGATAAATTTTCCATAAAAAGCCTTATAATATTTCTGTTACGCAACACAATTCTCACTCGTGAGCTTGGGGTACCTGTGTTCCGGCTGACAGAAAAAAGGACCCTGCGAAGGAAAGAGTAAGTTTGGTACCGGAGGTTTTTTCTCGCGCGAGACAAGGAGCTTCGCCAGCCGCAGGCCAACACATCTTCGGCCGAAACCGCGCATGAAAAGCCTCTGGAAGCCAGGGCAGGGAAAGAGAAACTGTGCCATTAATTTCCAGTAAGGACACCGTTAAGAGCTTGTGACAAGTTAAACTGGCGTTATGTTATGAAGTGATCACGTTTCACCTCTCAATAAAACAGAATGGAATTTCCTTCGAGAAAGCCAGGCTGCTTTGTGCTTTTCAAGTTGTAATGTTATTATTAAGTAAGTTAACACTTTAAAAATGCGTAAAGTTACTATGACTAAGTGATGATGGCGTCACGGAGTTTTAAAAGCCCGGACTTACCGGGTTGTGGCTTAGCTGCATTTGTTTAACGAGTTTGCTTCGTGGCCCTCGCTTCTAGTTAAAAACGCACTTGCAGTGGTGTACGAGTAGGAAACTTATTACGAATACGAGCTTTCAAACCAAGTTCGTATGCTTTAGATGACAACTTGTCACACTTACCTTATCTTTTAAATCGCTGTATGTGTTGGTCATTAACAGAAAAGAATGGTAGTTCTAGGCAAGTAGCTCACTCGATTTTCCCAAGTCGCCTTTGGGATTGCTAAACGTGCTTTCTACTTTAAGATCGATTTTTGTATGTGCCTTTAGTTACAAACTACGCCTTTTTTAGCTAAGTATTATGCGCCATACATTTGCAAAGGCAAAATAAAGGCCCTTTTTTTTAGTCGCAACTATCTGGGTTGAGAACAGAAATCTTCCTCATTGACTATCCAACGAACTTTGAATCTCAAGATTTTCATGACGGAAACCAACTAAACCTACGATTTAAAACCTCGCGAAAGTCTGTGTTTCGAAAGCAATAGATCCATGGATTGATCGCTGATGACGTAAAAGCAACCGCTTCAATCCATGGCCACACGGAGGCAAAATATCTGTCATCTAAACAAGGATCCTTTCCTTTCATTTGGTGCACAATGGAGACGACTAAACAAGGCATCCATGAAGCAATGAATACACCCAGTACAAACCCTACTGTTATTAGGGCTTTATAGTTCTGTTTGGCCTTAAACGTAGTATTGTTCTCGATAGAGTTGTCTCGTATTCTTCTGATCTGTCTCCTTGCAGCTTTAAAAATCCATGCATAGCAGAAAGCAACAATGATGTTTGGCACTAAAAACGTGGCAACCGATAACATCATTCCCATTTTTTCCTCGCTTACGAATATCAAAGATAACGGCAGTAACATCGAAGCAAACCAAGCTGAAATGATCGTATAGTGACATGTACGTTTGGTTATAATGAATGTGTAACGAAGAGGAAAACAAATGGCGATAAAGCGGTCCACAGAAACACAGCACAAGTTAAAAGTTGTAGCCGCAGTCGTGTATACCCATAGCATGTTCAAAATTTTGGTCCAAGGACTAGTATCTTGCGGCTGAATCACATAACGTACGGCTATCCACACTGGTGTTATGACAAGCCCTACAAGGAAGTCTGCTGTTGCCAACGAGATTATAAAACGGTTTGAAGTAGTTCTTAAATCACTTGGCGATCATTTAAACTGACAACTTCCGTTTTCACTTGACATTATAAGGTAGACTGAAGTGTTTTTTTTTTCTTCTTTTGTTAGACTAGTTTTCCTTTCACGTCTTTTTGTGCCTACCACACCTGGGCCAGATGCGCGGTGTACTCGAAATGAGCACAAAAATGAGTTAAAATTATCGGTGTCCCCTCCTTCTTTGAAAGAACAAAAACATGTAAATGTTAGAAATTAGGCAATGAGGCAGCTTATTTCAGCTGGTATTTACAAGTTTGCACCCTCCTTGCCATTCCGCTCGTATTGATTGACAATGTGTTTTAGGCATTAATTACTGATGCTCTTAGAGACAAGATTATTTTTGCATATAAATAGAATCGTTTGCGCAGATGCCATTATTTTCATTTTTTTTCATAAAATTTTAAAAGAGCCACACCAGAGCTCCTAAGTTATGCCGTCTGCTATATAAAAAGGCGTAAAAAACATTTTGCCATCTGACCCCTCAATCTTAATAAGAACAAATGAGAAAATTGATTATAAAAGTTCTAATTCCGCAGTTCGTTGTTCGTATTCAGAATTGGATGTTTTGCTCTGTTATTGATTTAGCGATCTGATATTCTTCACGCTATGCTTTGTTCCTCTGGGTTACCGATTCAGGGTGCTTTACCGCACGTCATATTGGCAGTTAGTTGCAAACACAGGTATCCCAAGCTCACGAGTGAGAATAGTGTTGCGTAACAGAAATATTATAAGGGTTCGTATAGAAAATTTATCGAACGTTATTTAGGGCATTAAAATAGAAATAAAAATACATCAAAACTTCTTACCTTGTCTCCTTGTCTTGTTTGTGGTATGTTCTTAGCATTTCTGGCCGTTTCCGCGCGATTCTAGTGAGTTTTACTTCTACCATTGTTCTCTCTGGAACGGCCAGAAATGCTAAGAACATACCACAAAGAAGAAAAGGAGGCAAGGTAAGAAGTTTTGATATATTTTTATTTCTATTTTAAGCCCTAAATAACGATCGATAAATTTTCCATAAAATGTCTTAAAATATTTCTCTTAAGCAACACAATTCTCACTCGTGAGCTTGGGGTACCTGTGTTCCACCTGACAGAAAAAAGGACCCTGCAGAGGAGAGAGTTAGTTTGGGTACCAGAGGTTTTTTCTCGCGCGCGACAAGGAGCTTCGTCAGCAGCAGGCCGACACGTCTTCGGCCGAAACCGCGTATGAAAAGCCTCTGGCACCCAGGGTAAGGAAAGAGAAACTGCGCCATTAATTTCCAGTAAGGACACCGTTAACAGCTTGTGACAAGTTAAACTGGCGTTATGTTATGAAGTGATCACGTCTCACCTCTCAGAAAAACAGAAATGGAATTTCCTTCGAAAAAGCGAGGCTGATTTGTGCTTTTCAAGTTGTAATGTTATTATTAAGTAAGTTAACACTTATGTAAGTTGCATAAAGTCACCATGACTGAGTGATAATGGCTCCACGGACTTTTAAAAGCCCGGACTTACCGGGTTGTGGCCTAGCTGCACCTGTTTAACGAGTTTGCTTCGTGGCCTGCGCTTCCGGTTAAAAAAAGCACTTGCAGTGGTGTACGAGTAGGAAACTGATTACGAATACGAGCTTTCAAACCAAGTTCGTAAGCTTTAGATAATAACTTGTCACATTTACCTTACCTTTTGAATAGCTGTATGTATTGGTCATTAACAGAAAGGAATCTCCTATGGTAATTCTAGGCAAGTAGCTGACTCGAAATTCCCAAGTCGCCTTTGCGATTGCTAAACACGCTTTCTACTTTAAGATGCTTTTAGTTACAAACTACGACTTTTTTAGCCAACTGTTATGCGTCATACATTTGCAAAGGCAAAATAAAAGCCCTCTTTTTTAGTCTTAACTATCTGGGTTAAGAACAGAAGTCTTCCTCATTGATTATCCAACGAACTTTGTATCTCACAATTTTCACGACGGAAACCAAGTAAACCTAAGATTTAAGACCTCGCGAAAGTCTGTGTTTCGAAAGCAATAGATCCATGGATTGATCGCTGATGACGTAAAAGCAACCGCTTCAATCCATGGCCACACAGAGACAAAATATCTGTCATCTAAACAAGGATCCCCTCCTTTCACTTGGTGCACAATGGAGACGACTAAACAAGGCATGTATGAAGCGATGAATACACCCAATACAAACCCTACTGTTTTTAGGGCTTTATAGTTCTGTTTCGCATTAAACATAGTATTGTTCTCGATAGAGTTTTCTCGTATTCTTCTGATCTGTCTCCTTGCAGCTTTAAAAATCCATGCATAGCAGAAGGTAACGATTATGGTGGGCAGTAAAAACGTGGCGACCGATAACATCATTCCCATTTTTTCCTCGCTTACGAATATCAAAGATAACGGCAGTAATATCGAAGCAACCCAAGCTGAAATGATCGAATAGTGACATGCACGTGTGGTTATAATGAATTTGTAACGAAGAGGAAAACAAATGGCGATAAAGCGATCCACAGAAACACAGCACAAGTTAAAAGTTGTAGCCGCAGTCGTGTATACCCATAACATGTTCAAAATTTTGGTCCAAGCACTAGTATCTGGCGGCTGAATCACATAACGTTCGGCTATCCACACGGGTGTTATGACAAGCCCTACGAGGAAGTCCGCTGTTGCCAACGAGATTATAAAACGGTTTGAAGTAGTTCTTAAAGACTCGTGTTTATAAAACAACCACATTTCAAGGGCGTTTCCAGCTACAGCTGCAAGGCTAGTAAAACTAAGCCAAACAGATAGGATAATAACCGATTCACTCTCTAATCGGTTATCGGAGCACCATTCATCAATGTTAGGTTCCATGTAGAAGGCGATAAAGTTTCCTGTCTTGGCGAGTCTTTTCTAAACTTTAAAGGGCCTAATAGCTGATGTTATTAGATGCGGTTCGAAAAATTCTTTTTTAGCATGGCTTCAAAATGCTTGAGTCTGTTGATTGAAGGTGCCTGCCCACTAAAACGATATCATTCAGTTGTAATTCGTCGGAAAAAGAGCCTCCAGTTAAACTACTCAGCACCGAATGAGCATCATTGTGTTGTTGTTGACTTTCTTATGCTAGTCAATCAATAAAACTCACCAAATCATTTTGCAGCCTGCATTTTACGCTGATTGTACTTAAGATGTAAGGCAAGACACTTGAACCTCCCCCCGAATGATTTGTCATTCACCTGGCGATCATTCAAAATGTCACCTTTCGTTCTCGTTTGCCAGTGTTCGGTAAATTGATGTTTATTTAATACACTAGTCCTCTCTGACGCTTTCCTGCCCTGAATACACCTGACTGCACAGTTTGGTCGAATAAAATAATCAGTGAAAATTCTCGGTCCCATATCCTTCATTAAAACTACAAAATAACATGTTAATGTCAAAAATTAGAACACGCTCTTTCATTAACAAATTCACCGCCTAGTGGGGCATCCCCGCTCGTATTGATTGACAATGTGTTTTAAGCATTGATTACTGATGCACTCAGAAATAAGATAATTTTTGCATATAAATGGAACGTTTGCACAGATGCCATTATTTTCATTTTGTCTCATGAAACTTTTAAAAGAGTCATCCTAGAGCTCATAAATTGTGTTGCGTGTTATATTAAAAAGCGTGAACAACAATTTGCCATCTGACACCCAAACTTAAATGGAACTAATAAGAAAAATGATTATCCGCAGTTCGTTGTTCGTATTTAGAATTGGATTTTTTGTTCCGTTATTACTTTCCTTATCAATCTGATATTTTTCACCTTACGCTTTGTTCCTCTGGGTTACCGATTCAGGGTGTGTTTACCGAACGCTACGTTGGCAGTTAGATCAATTGACTTGAAAGAGCGAAAGCGGCCTTATTAAGCCACCACTGTAGGTAACTTATGGCAACCTCTGACTGAAAAAAAAAGAAGCAAATAAATGAACACATTTTCGTTGTATGAAGCCTTTTGTAAACCGTGATGAAAATTCACATTTAAAATTTTCTCGCTCTTTCTCCGCCTTAAATTTCCACGAGAAGTTGAATTTTTCAAGGTTGAAGCAAAGCGCAGCTGACGTTAAATTCAGTGTCTGAATCATTTCTGAATCATTTTTACGAGATCCCTGTCACAAATCTTTCATAGCTTGGGCAATGCATCGTTAAGTCCTGTGGAAGTATGTGGTAGTCCTTGCACTGCAAGATTTTCGACTTCAAATTTTGTATGAAACTACACCGCGGTGGCCCTAGGATCCCCACCCACCCCCATTTAAGATTTCCGCGAGAAGCGAGGTCCTTCAGTTTTCTAGCGACTCCAATCGGGCGTGCGTGGGACTTTTTTCCGCCCTCGCGCGTTTCTCTCGTTGGAGTAAGAAAAAGATAGACTGTTTGAAGAAATATTGGGTAATGAAATGATTTTATAATGGTTAAGTGTTGTCTGCCCTTTATTTCTTTTTGTTTATTTCATAGCTGTCAGAGTGGAAAGCATTTTATGACTCAGCTAATCCCCAAACTGAACCACTCCCAGAACCGTGGGAAGATGAACTCAACAAAATACAGCATCTAATTGTTTTAAGATGTCTCAGGCCAGATAAGGTGCAGGATGAAAGCTATATTAACATTGTACCTAGCATCCCACGCAGACGTTCTTAGGGGTTCGTCACACGTTCCTGCCACGTTGGGGAGGATTCCGTGACGAGCCAAAACAAGGTCTGCGTGGCAAATGAACGCCGAGTCGGAAATGGTTTGAAGTAAATGTGGTGCTCCTGGGTGTTTCGTGTCACAGAAACTGGAATAACCTTCAACCGTGTGGCCCCGGCGGGGTCATTTTTATACGGGAAAGCTCCTTCCCGAGGCCCGACCACTTGCCCTTTTATGTACCACTTTAAACGACAGAAAAGGTACCCCTTTCCTATACCTCGTATTGACGAATGCCTTGTTTAGAACTATGCATCCCTTTTAACTGCCGTAAATGTACAGTTTTAAAATCACAGAACCAGAACGTTTCCTCGACATATGCTTGCCCTTTCGGGCCTTTTTACCAACCGAAATGACAGATTTTACTACCCTTCCCTATACGTTAACAAGTAAAATCCCTACCCTTTCAGATACCTGAAGCCTGAGAAAGGTACCCCTTTCGGGCGGATCCTCCCCGTATAAGCGTTTTAGTGAGTGCCCCCCGGGCGTGTAGGCCTCATGGTTTGTGTGCGCCTGGAACGTTACCTTACCCTATGACAGACAAGTAAAAACCCATGCCTTGTCTAGCGGCACGGCCGGCCCTGTATAGTCTATATAGTTATAAAGAGGTGCTCCCCGATGTTAAGCATCACCTCTCTTGTCGTTTCAGGTCACTCTTGGAGTGCGTGACTTCATCACGTTCTACATGAGCCCCACCTTCATAGAGCCGCCCACCTTTGACCTGTCCAAGTGTTATGAGGACTCAGACTGCTGTGTACCGTTAATATTCGTGCTGTCACCCGGAGCCGATCCAATGGCTAGCTTGGTCAAGTTTGCAGAAGACATTGGTAAGACTGTGCGCCGCGTGATAAACCGCTGACGTATCGTTAACGCCTTCCAACCGTTACAAATACATACTTCATAATGTTTTTCATGCAGTTGATGTTGTTCCAGTAAGGGAAATATTTAAAAATCCAGACCTTGTTTTTTCTTTGGTACTGTTTCCGTATACAGTGGAACCTGGATATTACGAAGGGCGTGGGAAGTGGCAACTTCATGGGGACTGGGACTTATCTGCTATAACGAGATTTTTTTTTTACAGCGAGGTTCTTTTTTATATATTTAACCAATACTGGGGTGAAGATTATCGTTCGTTAAAATACAGAGGACTTCGTTATACAGAGGTTCGTTATTTCGTGGTTTCACTGTATATTGTTGAATGGTCCCAAAAAAGAAAGAATGTTTTTAGGGAATCGTGTTTTCATCGGTGAAAAATTTGCTGCTATTTCCCTTCTCTTCTTGCCTTGAGTCCACCAACTTCACTTCTACATCTTCGTGGTTTTCTTGTGGACATTTTTACAGCTTTTTATTACCTTTGAGTGTTTTTCATGGTTAGAGATTTCTCCGACAAGCCATTTTACTTGGTTTTCATGGGAAAATCAACTTCGATTTTACAGTTGTGTGGGAGCTGCTCGTAAGACCTCCCCTGATTGGTCGTAGAAAACAATGACATGTCATTCTTTCAATTGTTTCAGTATTGTTTGGGGTCAGGGTTAGGCACCATTGGTGACTTCTCTTTCGAGCAGCCAATTTTAGAGTGACTACCGTAAAATTCCGAGAAGAAGCCCCTCCATGTATAAGCCCCTCCAAATATAAGCCCCCCAATGCGGTAACGCAAAAAGCCCTTCGTTAAATTGCCCCTCCAAATATAAGCCCCCCGGGGGCTTGTACTTGGAAAATTGCCCTCACATACAAAGTAAAACAAAGCAAAAACGGTAAATTTACTTCCAACTATATGGCTAGCCCAATCGATTTTGAAACGCAAATTTCCCTCCGTAGATAAGCCCCTCCGAATACAAGCCCCTCCAAAAATAAGCCCCTCAAAAAGGGCCTTTGAAAAATATAAACCCCGGTGCTTATTTTCGGAATTTTACAGTATCTTCCTTCCTTAGTTGCGTCACAGTGATTCTCGTAACACCTCCTAAAATCTTGAAATCAATATTGTGGATATTTTCAAATTTCTCTTTTTTCTTTTCCTGTACTAGGTGTGACCAGGTCTCATTTTCAGACTATTTCATTGGGTCAAGGTCAAGGGCCCATAGCGGCCAAGATGATCAATCAGGTAACAGGCTCTCTGTTAGCAGTTAACTCTTCCACACTTGAAGCATTTCCAAGGGAGTTTTATTTTATTTTGCTTTATACTAGTCGTGTGGGCTTCATCGCAGACACTCTGCACTGCCGGTATAGGGGCGTGTGGGTCGGCTGCAACGTAGGCGAATTCTAAAAAGTAGCTCATGGAAAAATACCGACTACTAAAGAGTTTTATTTAAGTAGTGGTACGATAAGATTTCGTCCATAGACTCGAACATTAGAACTGCCTAAAAAACAAATAGGACTATGTGAAAGTACAGCTGAAGAGGTTTCATTTGAATGGTCACACCATAGGTTTCCATCCACAGACTCAAAAGTTAAAACTACATACAAAACAATTACTACAGTGTGAAAGTACTGCTGAAGAGGTTTCATTTGAATGGTCATATCATAGGATTTCATCCACAGACTCAAAAGTTAGAACTACTTAGAAAAGAACAGTACCATGTGAAAGTACTACTGAAGAGGTTTCATTTGAATGGATACATCATAGGATTTCATCCACGACTCCAAAGCTAGTAGAACTACGTAAAAAACAAGTAGCATCGTATGAAGTACTGAGGTGCTGAAGAGGTCTTATTTGATTGATCACACCATATAATAGGATTCCATTCACAAACTCAAAAGTTAGAACTACTTAGAAAAGAATATTACCATGTGAACGTACTGCTGAAGAGCTTTCATTTCAGTGGTGACACCTTGGAGGGTTCATTCCTGTTTGGGAAGGATGCAATCGTATAATAGTCGCCCTGGAATAACTCACTCTAACTGGACGACTAACTGGATTTCATCATAAAATAAGTCGAGTCGATAAGTTGAAAAGCGATAGTTATCTTTTCTTTTTAGGCCATTGAAGTAGGCGACTGGGTAGTCTTGCAAAACTGCCATCTTGCAACTTCTTGGATGCCTGTCCTAGAGAAGATATGTGAAGAGGTAATGTGTATTATTATCTATTCAAAAGATTTTGCCGTTTCTGATAGGCTCCAATCCCCCGCCCAATTCCTCAGAACCAACTCGCGCTT